ATTCCTGAAATAAATAATTCAAAGTTTTACCTCTAAATATCTATATCTATCTGTAAATCTCTATGTAAATTTCAGTATTTTTTTTCCCAAACTTAAAATCAAGGGGTAACATTATTTTTCTCTGTTTCTTCCTGCCATACCTTTTTGTCTTTTAACTATTATAAACAGCTTCTCACGAGGCTGTGTCAGGATGAAATATTAAAAAAAAAAAATACTTATAACAATAACCAAGAAAATATATTTTTTTTTTCAATAATATAAGAAACGGGGGCAAACGGGTGCGGTCCCATGCAAATGAAGCGCACCATGACAGGGAAAACCAGATGAAGCTCGAGTGATGTTCCATCACAAAATCATTTAATGAAAAGAGGAGTAGCCTTATAACGGGGTCACAACTCACAAGTTATATTCTAACAAATAAGAATTCAATATTGCAAATAGCTCTTTTTTTTCTACTCTTTTGCAAAACTGTCAAACCGGGGGCATAACGAGTGCGATCCCACAAAAGTGAAGCGCACAATAAGAGGGTTAGCCCAAATGAAGCCCAAGTGGTTCCATCCCAAAACCAATTGGTAGTAGGAGGAGTAGCTCACTAGGCTTATAAGTTAGGTCTATTTACCTTATCAAATCAATGTGGGACAACTCACAAGTAACATTCCAACAAAAACACACCCTAAAATTTTGCAACTTTGTACACACTTTCTGTAATTATTCCAAAGTCAAGGGGGGCTTCTGTTATTATACCTGATTATTCATGTTCTCTGTTTCCTCTGCTGATAGCATATATATGTAAGATTCCACACAGAACACAGTTTCATATTACACTCTTTCTTCTACTCACCCTTTTTGCCACTAAACTTTATTATTTGCTTTTCATTTTGGGCCAAGAAAATGGGAAAAGCTACAAGGTGGCTGAGGGGTCTGCTTGGACTCAAGAAAGATAAAGAAAATGTGGATAAAAATTCGACCTTTATTGAAAACAAGTCGAAAAAAAAGGTGGGCCATGCAAATTCCGGCAAGGAACCTGTGCCCTTGAGTCAGATTCCGGCCAAGGACTCCGATTGGTTGAGATCTCTGATTGCTGGTTCGAAGGAGGAGCACAGCAAGCACGCCATTGCGGTTGCTGCGGCCACCGCCGCCGCCGCGGACGCTGCCGTCGCCGCCGCTCAGGCGGCGATGGCGGTTGTCCGGCTGACCAGCCAGCGCAGAGGTGGGTTTTCCGCCGACCGCAGGGAGAGATTGGCCGTCGTGAGGATTCAAACTGTTTTCAGAGGCTATTTGGTAAGCGTTGGATTTTATTTTGTTTCTTCGTAGTTTAAAAATTGCTCTTTTTTGTACCAAAAAAAACAAAAAAATTGCTATTTTTATTACTATATGAATTTTCGGGATTTTAAAACAAAATAATGTATCATGATATTAAAGTAATAATTTTGAACTTTTCCTGTTTGAATTTAAAAAAAAAATTGAACAAATATATGGGAAAATGCTACAGTCCCGTTTACGGAACCATTCTGTCGGGATCTGTAACCGTTAGATTATCATGTAACTGTTGATCTAACGATTACAAATCTCGAATGGATGGTTCTGTAAAGAGACAATAGAATTGATGATTTGGAAATCCATGTTTGTTTAAGAAACACAAAAATCCAACACTCTAATTTACTGCAACTATAATCCTAATGACAGCACAAATGTCTCCATTTTTTTTTTGTGTGTGTGTGTGTGTTACAGATTATGTCCCTATCTGCACAATTATTATTTTATCTTTCAAATTTAAAGTCCCCTGTTTTATTATATTTATTTTTATCCACTGCAGTCCTAACACATAATTGCCTTACCTACTTGGGACATCTACAAATTTGAAATTTGAACTTTGCCTCTTTTTCAAATTCATTAATATGAACTCAAATTTCTACCTGCAGGCCCGAAAAGCACTGCGGGCCCTGAAAGGGCTGGTGAAATTGCAGGCACTAGTTCGAGGCTATATCGTAAGAAAACGAGCCGCAGCAACTCTGCACAGCATGCAAGCCCTTCTCCGGGCCCAGGCCGCCATACGGTCCCAAAGGTCCCGCAGTTCCATGAGACTTAAAACCTCCAGCGTACGTTCAAAATTCTGAGCCTTCAAAACGAAATTTCAAACTTTCATCCAATTTAGGCGACAAGTAAAAAATGCAGCATTTTATTACGAATTTGCAGGACAGGTTTGACGAGACGCGGTCGAGGGAATTCCATAGCAAAAGGCTCTCGTCCTCGCACGACCCCACCTCCCTAAGCACGTTTGACGAGAGCCCAAAAATAGTCGAAATCGACACATATGGTCCCAAGTCGAGATCCCGAAGAATTAGCCCGGAATACTATGATGATCCCTACTTCCAAGTAATGTCATCTCCAATGCCTTGCCTCTCGACAAACTGTATGTCCATCCCTAACTGCAATCAAGGCCAAGATTTCGACTGGGGATTTGTGAAGGAGGACCATAAATTCGCAACGGCCCAAAACACTCCAAGATTCGGATGTTCGGGCCGGGCCTATGCCCCCACGACACAAGCCAAGAGCGTGTGCGGAGAGAGGTTCTTCAGCCCGTTCTCGACTTGCCCGAGCTACATGGCGAACACACAGTCGTTTAGGGCGAAGTTGAGGTCCCACAGTGCACCAAAGCAGAGGCCCGTATCGGGCCCGAAGAAGAGGTTCTCGCTGAACGAGATAATGGCGTCGAGAGCTAGCTTTAGTGGGGTTAGGATGCAGAGCTCTTGTTCTCAGGTTGAACCAGATTTTGAATCTTAGGTATACTTGTTTTTGGGTGTGTTTATGTGTGAAAAGATTATATGTGCAGGCTTGGAGCTAACATGTATGAATCTTAGATTATACGAGGCTTTGTTTCTCAAAATAGTTATTGTGTTTGACAAACAATTGGTATGAAGTAGAGAGTGGTTGTGTAGATTCATTATCAATTAATGTTTTGTACTTGAGTTTATTTTTGTGAAAGTTCTATGAATGCTTGTTCTTTGTTTGTGTTCACTTTGCTTTATTGTGAGTTTTCATTGTGTAGTGTATGTTATGACCTTAGAGAACATCTTCCTAAATGGTAACACATGTACCTTATTTCCCTTACCACATGACAAAACCTATAATTGGTTGCAAGTAGGTATACAAAGTAAAAAAAAAAGGGTTCTACTATTTACCACATGTTTTTACTAAATACCGCCCCCAGAAATGACGATTTTGCCCTTTGAATAAAAATTTAACAAAAAAAAAGAAAAATCGAAAATGGTCCTTTTGACATAAACATATATTATCAAAAAAATTCAAAAATCTATACATCATCAAGCACAGTGAAAAAAAAAATCAAAAATTACGAAAAAATTAAAATAAAACCAAAAAATTCGAAACAAAACCGAAAAAATCAAGAAAAAATGGTGGGACAATCTTCAAGCACCGGGAAAGGGCTCTCCAATTCACAAGTAATATATTTTTTTTTTTTTTTTTT